TGGGGCTTGAACTCTGGGCCTGGGCGCTGTCCCTCAGCTCTTCAGCTCAAGGCGAGCGCTCTACCACTTGAGCTACAGCGCCACTTCCAGTTTTCTGGTGGTTTATTGGAGGTTGGAGTCTCACGGTCTCTCCTGCCCGGGCTGGCTTTGAACCACGATCCTCAGATCTCAGCCTCCTGAGTAGCTAGGATGACAGGCGCGAGCCACCAGCGCCTGGCTCTGAGCCAACTGCTTTTGATCTTTGTTTTCTCATTTGTGTGTGTGTGTGTATGCAAGCACATGCCAGTACTGGGGTCTCAAATTCAGAACCTCCCACAATCTCTGAGCTTTTTCTCTCAAAGTTGGCTTTCTTTTTTTTTTTTTTGGTCGGTCCTGCGGCTTGAACTCTGGGCCTGGGCACCTTCTCTCAGCTCTTCAGCTCAAGGCAAATGCTCTACCACTTGAGCCACAGGGCCACTTCCGGCTTTCTCTGCTTATGTGGTGCTGAGGAATCGAACCCAGGGCCTCATGCATGCAAGGCAAGCACTCTACCCCTGAGCCACCTTCCCAGCCCAAAGTTGGCATTCTTTATTCCTGGAGCCACAGCTCCATTCCTGCCCAGGCTGGCTTCAAACCATAATCCTCAGATCTCAGCCTCCATAGTAGCTAGGATGAAAGGCGTGAGCCATTAGCATCTGGCCTAAGTCAGTCTTATGCATGCTAAGCAAGCCTTCTGGTTTTCTTTTCCTTGCGTACTGGGATTGGAACTTACTCCACAGGCACTTTACCCACTGGGCAACACCCCCTACCCTCCCCTTAGCCCTAAGTAAACACCCTAGGTGGCCTATTTTCTCATAGAACTCTGGAAGCCACCCAGTAGCTTTAGCATTGGTGTTGCAGTTTTCCCAGTGGGCATTCTTCGTGTCACCTCTGTTAGAATGTCAGCTCCCTTGGTCCGAGGGATTTGGGCCTTGGCCAGCCTAGAGTTCATGGCGCCCAGTGGGTTCACAGCGTCTCTGTGGACCATCTCAGGCCCTGGGGATGCTGGGGATGAACTGCCCCCACATGGCCCACCCGGAGATCACCACACATGTTGCATATAAAAACATTTTAAATTAAGAAAGGTAAGGGCATATCAGTGCACATGGATGGGAACAGACATAGACAGAAAGAGGGCCCAGCCCCTAGGTGAGTGAGGCCCAGACAGCTAAGCCTGGGTGTTGGTCCTCCAGGGTGTAGATTCAAGCGCGTAGCTCAGAGATCTGCCTTCCGGAAACTTGCTCTGTTTAGGGAGTTCCTGGGGGGTGAAATGTGGCATGTTAATAAGGACACAGGGCCCCCGCAAAACTCTGTAGTGCTCCTCAGCCCACCTTGTCTTCTAGGATCTTTCCTGTCTATTCTGATTTTGGCTGCGGGATTCACAGATCTGCCACGAGAGGAACCGATCGTGCCCATTTCTCAGATGTGAAGACCGAGGCTCTTGGATTAGACCTCACCACAGCCCAGAGCCTGCCCTGTCCTTGGCAATGCTGGCAACAGGTTCCCCATCCTGTCTCTGTCTGCCTTTGCTCAGTCTCCCTGTGGCCCTAAGGCGGAGGTGCTAGTTGAGCACCTGAGGTTGGCTGGCGTCGGTGCCAGCAGGTGTGGCAGGCGCTGGGTCAGCAGGGGCTGAAGCGCCTCCCTCAGGCGGCAGTAGTGGCGCTCCAGCTCGCGGTGGTACTCCTTTTGGTCCTGCCCGATCAGGGCTTTGTTCTTCCGCAGGGCATCTTCACACCTGAGGAGGGAGGAGGGAGGCTGGAGGCTGGAAAGAATTCTCACTGATGGCAGGCAGAGGGTCGCACTGGGAGTAAGTAGAGCAGCCATAACTGGGGAGTCAGGCTGATAAGGTTTATAATTGGGGGGGGAGAGAGTTGGGGAGGGTACCCAGCCTACTTTTTACAGAAGTCCTTGAAACACAAGCGCAATTTGTTGTGATGCCGGAAGAGCTTGGGGTCCTCTGGGATCTCCGCTAGAAACACCTGGGCCACCTCCAGGGGACCCTGCCAGGGGAGAGGGAGCTGTAGGCGAGGGGTGCGCTTGGTGTCTGGAGACACCGCTCCCCGGCGGCCGTGTGCCCCCTGCCCTGCGCATGCGCGGCAGCCTGCCTGGTTCACCGTGGGCCCCACGGAGCCCTGCAGCACCATCTGAAGCATCTTGGCATCGGGAGGGTCCTGGTCCGTGGCAAAGGCCAGCTCGCGCGTCTTCTTCTGCATGTCCTCGATCGCCACCTCCACGGGCGTCAGCACGGTCTGCAGGGAGGGGGGGGGACACTGCCGGGGTCCAAATCACGCCCCCCAATAAGGTGGGTGATGCCGGACGGGAACACCCTCCTGCCTAGGCTGTCCGCCGCGTCTGATTTCTGGCTTTGGTTTGGGGTGGGTCCTACTTCCCTGCCCAGATTTTTTTTGGGGGGGTGGGGGTGTCTCCATGCCTCTTTGTTTTTGGTCAGTCATGGGGCTTGAACTCAGGGCCTGGGCACTGTCCCTGAGCTCTACCACTTGGAGCTAAAGCACCACTTCCGGTTCTCTGGTGGCTCACTGGAGCTAAGAGTCTCATGGACTTTCCTGCCCATGCTGGCTTTGAACCGCGATCTTCAGATCTCAGTAGCTGGGATGTCAGGCGTGAGCTCCCAGTGCCTGGCTTCCATGTCTCTCTTCCCTGGGCCTTTTCTTTCCTGGGGTGTCCTGATGCCTCTCCTTTCTAGGTCTGGGGGTCTCTGCCAACCCTTCCCAAGCTTGCTGCTCCCCCATCTTTCTTCTCCAGGCCCGGATGTCCCCCCCAGCTTCCCTCCCCAGATCCTGCCAGCCATCCTGGCAGGCCCCACCTCCTCGCGGTGGCACACGCGGATGCGCGTCTTGATGTAGGGGAAGGCATGCTCAGTGCTCAGCAGGGTCTTGCGCTTGTGTTGCTCGGGCAGCTCGCCGTGCGCGCGCCCATCGGGCGTGAAGGGCGTGCAGAACAGGAAGGTGCGCAGCCCATAGTTACGGTCGAAGTATGTCACCCTGTCCTTGAGCTCGTAGGTGTCGAAGTGGGGCTCCACGTACGTGATCTGGATGTAGGCCTGAAGTGTGGGGTTAGGCATGAGCCCCACCATGCCTGGCTCCCATGTTATACACAACCTGATGCCTTAATCTGGGGGGCTTCGGTTCTGGGGGTACCCAGGCCTTCCTATGGGTGTCTGGGAATCCCAAAGAATAGGGCTTTGGGTTCCCCCTGAGGAGATAAGGTTGGAGTTATGCACTTTTTCTTTTCTCCAGCTCTTTCTGCATCAGCCTCCTGAGTGCTGGGATTACAGGTGTGAACAACCACACTCAGAGGGGAAAAAAAAGGGATTCTAAGTTCCTCCAGGAAATAGTGCTTGGAGTGTCCTTGAAGATATGATTTGGGGGGCTGGGAAAGTGGCTTCATGGTAGGGTGCTTGCCTAGAATGCATGAAGCCCTGGGTTCGATTCCTCAGTACCACATACACAGAAAAAACCGGAAGTGGCGCTGTGGATCAAGTGGTAGGGTGCTAACCTTGACCAAAGGAAATTCAGGGACAGCGCCCAGGCCATGAGTTCAAGCCCAGGACTGGCAAAAAAATAATAAAGATATGGGGGTGGTGGTGGTAAGGGGACCCACCTTCTGTGGATCGAGTTTGGCCTTGTCCACAGGGTTGGAGTCTTTGATAATCTCCACCACGTCCTCTCCGAACCTCTCTGTGTAGAACTCCTGGGGGCACAGGGTCAAGTCAGGGTGGAGGGGGTGCACCCGCTGTCCCGGCCCTGGGCCCCCCGCTTCCCCCAGCTCGGGGACATGCCTCCAGGCGGTGTGAGATCTCAGCCAGCTTGGTGATGGACGGCTCCTTGTACACAAACTCCTGCTCATCTAGGTCCCCAAAGCGGGTGCCATAAAATCCCACCCGGAAATACGTCCCGAACACACGCTGGGGGGGCGCTGTGAAAAAGGCGCTCGCTATGTATGGAGGGGGCAGAGGTCTCCCGTCACCCCCAGATCGTGTCCTGGGGGTGGAAGCACTGGACATCAGCAAGGAGCCCCCAAGGATGTCAGGATGTGCACCCGGTCCACCTTCCCAAATACTCATGCTGACACCAATTCTGAATTCTGGGTTAGTTCCTTTGTGGAATTGGGGGGGGGTATCCTTTGGATAATAATACCAAATGAGGCCCAGGGTCCCTGGGACTGTGTATACAGCAGGCGACCCATGTCTGCGTCGCTGGGGAGGCCTGCGGCCCTGCCCTGGATTTACACTCTGACTTCTCTTATGGATCTAGAACATTCCCTTCCCTGTTCCCAGCCCTTTTTGGAAGGAGGAACCCCCATTACCCCAAGAATCACCACCCTCTGCCCACAGGGAAGGAAGAGAGGCGGCTCACTCACCAGGGTGGATCCAGGCGGGGTGAGGCGGACGCGGGGCGGGGGATGGGGGGTGGACAGAGAGACACAGTCATGGGAGAGGTCAGAGCCTCCCCCTCCCCCTCTTCGGGTTATACCACCCTATGAGAAGCTAGAGATTCAGGATGGGGAGAGCTGGGGGCCTGCCAGGGCTCTGGGTTTCTGCCATCTTTGGCCAGAAAATTCTCCCCAAACTAAGGGTTGCCTAAAAATAGAAAGGGAGAGGCGGGACTTTTTCTTTTTTGGGGTGGGGGGGGATTGTGTGTGAACTACAGAGATGGGGAACCTGCGTGGGGGGAAGGAGGGGAAGCTGGGAGCTGGGGAGACAGAGACTAAGACAAAGATGGAGATGGAGCCTGGGATGGGGAAATAGGAGAGAAAGCGAGGGAGGGAGGGAGGGAGGGAGGGCAGCCCCCCTCCTGGGCAGGGCTGAGCTGGCCCTCCAGGACGGGTGTCTCTGGAGACGTCCCAGCTGGGTGACTCACGGCCTCCCTAGAGATGGTGCCGGGGAGGGGGGAATCTGGAGGGGGGATCTGAAGGGGGGGCTCTGCGTCATCCCGCTTAGCCCGAGGCCCCTCTAGCCCGTGGTCATGCTCCTCGGGCGCCCCCTAGTGGCCGCTGACCTCTGCTATCCGAGATCATGGGGGTCCCCAGAGGCAGATGGCCCCGAAGGGGGGCGGGACTCACCTCCCAGCCGGAGCTCTGTGGGGGTAGAGAAGGGTCAAGGTCAGGAGAGCCTAGGGTGAGGGTTGAAGGGGGGGGACACTGGGCCCCCAGGATGGGAATGTGGGCGGGGCCAGACTGCGAAGGGCGGGGCCTATGGCAGGAGTGGGAAGGATTGGGCCTGGGGATGTGCGAGAGGCGGGACTTGTGCCAGATGCCAGAGGGGTCAGGGGAAGGGGCGGGGCTTATAACATGCCTGGGAAGGATTGGGGCTGGGGGTGCGTGCGGGGCGGGGCT